TCAAGCGTTTTTCTTTTATTTTTGTTTGTGAAAGTCAAATGTAACTTTTTCTCTCTAAATAAATTTACTTAACATCTTACACAGTTTAGCCAATTCAATTCATAAATTATACATTTTGCACAAACCTTACTCTCACCATTTTGCTTTTCTTTTAGGATTTAAAAATGAGACCCTTAAACAGACAGGATTTCTGGGGAAATCCGTCACCTTACCATCTGGAGTGAATGAGACTGGGAAATTTACCACAATAGAATGGTCAATCTTAGCAAAAAATAATACTTACATTGCAAGGTTTTCTGGAGGCAATGTAAAATACTATCAACAACAGAGAGACCGTCTGAAACTCGACACAACAACTGGGGATTTAGAGATCAGGGACCTGCGCAGGGAGGATAGTGGCACATATACAGTCCATGTAAGAAAATCAGATAAAATCCAATGGAATAATAAAGTCAACCTTTCTGTACAAGGTAAGTGAATGGTGGTAAACTTTAGGGCTTCCAAACTATAGAACAAAATAGAATTTCAGGCAATACATAAAAAAATTAAAATTGCTATTTTGTATTGTATAACTTCTAAATGTATGTTTTTTTTATTAAAACATGTTTCAGTCATTCTTGCCATTTATATAAACAATATGTATGCTTTCTAAGCATTAGCTGCTGACTTGCAACGCATTTTAGTAAGCTAACATTGTGTGCTTAATTCAACCTAAAGCTTTCAGAGTTTACAAAATGGTATTGGAAAGATTCACTTTTCTGACATTAATTGTTGTCTTTCAGTTTCATTAAGCTTTTATGAAATGTTTTATTTTAAACAGCTGTATTGAATTTCTGGGGTACCATTGAAAACTGGCAGCAGTGATAAATTTAGATAAAATTATTATTGTAGAAAAAATAAATATGGTAAAAATGCAACATAAAAATGAATAATAAACACTACGAATTCCTTTCCAGTTAACACACACACACACACACACACACACACTATATGGACAAAAGTATACAGACACCTGGCCATTACACCCACAGGAATTTTTATGACATCCCATTCTAATTCCATAGACATTAATATGGAGTTGGTCCCCTTTGCAGTTATAACAGCTGCCACTCTTTTGGGAAGGTTTTCCACAAGATTTTGGAGTGTGTCTGGGGGATTTTCTTTCCCATTCATCCAATTGTGAGGTCAGGCACTGATGTTGGACCACAAAATAATGCACCAAGGACTGCGGTGCTACATGTAGGCCTATACATAAAGCGCATGGATAGAAAACAAGTTCTTCCTATTTGAATCAGGCTGGTAAAATGAAGGTGCTTGTCAGTCAGAGAGGGTCGTTTTTGTAATTTATACTAGGTGGGCGGGCCATTAGTTCAAGTGCAAAGGACTCGCAATTAAAAAATTCTAGGGAAACCTGGCATTACTAGATTAGCAGGCTAAGCCTCTGTGCCTGTTATTAGAAAGTTACTGGTTTGAGCCCAAGGCTCGGTTGGATAGTCACATGTCCATGGACCCTTGAGCAAGGCCCTTAACCCCCAGCTCCCCCCTTCCCTTGCTGCTGCCCTTTGCTACCAAGCTTACTCCAACCTACATATGTTTCATGGAGAACAAGATGGGATAGGGAAAAAGAGAAATTCCACATGGGCATCAATAAAGTGTCATTATTATTTGTATTATTTAATAACCCTAAAAACAATGTTTCTCAAAGGAGAGAAATTTGTCTTTTGATAGGCTTTACCTTAATGTTAGTATTCACAAATGTAATAAGAATATAGAACAACAGACATAAACAGGGAAATATAAGCACATTGATGTTCCTACCACTGCTATTCCTACCTACTACTAAACCTACTATTGTTTTCCCCACAGAGAAGCTTCCAGAACCCAGTATAACTGTCACTAATAGGAAAATAGAATATGGCATGTGTAAGATCTTGCTGACATGTTCAGTGAAAAGTGAAACGACCACCATTACCTATGGTCCAGAGGGCTTTCCTCATGGCTGCGAATTCAAACCTCTGCGCTATGCTACCACGGGACGGGAGGCAGAAGCATGGTGCAGTCCCATACAGGACGTGAACATCACCTGCACTGCCAGTGACAGTGTGAGCACCACTGCTTCCACAGTGAGAACAGGATGTTCAAGAACTGATCCAGGTAAATTTATTTACAGTGTTGGCCTGAAATAGCAGTGTTACTCAGGTTTGCAAACTATGTTATCCAGGTTGCTATTACTGTTAGAAAGTGTTCTCTAAACACCACAAGTTAGTCAGCTTAGGCAAGTTTTACTGCTTCATTTGGCATTAGCTCCATTGCTCAAGCCGATAATCTGCATTCAGCAGTCACAGTCAGAGTTTTGTTTTCTGTAAAACTGTGTTTTTGAAGATGCTGTGTTTGAAGCTGTGTGTACCTGACATGTTTAACTGAAGTTCTTTCTTCCAGTTTTCATCTGTAGTGCAGGGTGTGGCATCATGTGCTTTTTTGGGGGGGTGATAATAACAGCAGCTGTTTGCATCGTTTTATACATAAAATGTGGTAAGTATATTTAAACTAAAAAGTAAAACTCTTACAATTTCTCACACAGTCAATAGTAACAAAACTGAAACAGCATGAAATTCCTCACTGCTGTTCA